AAGCGAGCGCTTTCCCAACTCAACTGGAGGAAGGTTACCTAAAGCTCTACAAGCTGCTTGGCGGACATCTGCATCAGTGTCCTCCAGCTTGTTCACCAAATCTACCGAATGTTTGACCAACTCATCCGGAGAAAGGCCGCCCAAAGCTCTACAAGCTGCACAGCGGACATCTGCATCATTGTCCTCTAGTTTCGTCACCAAATCCAAGGAATGCTTTGCTAACTCATCCACAGGAAGGCTGCCCAAAGCTCTACAAGCTGCACCGCGCACAACTGCATCATAGGTTTCCATGTTCTTGACCAATTCTGGGGCGTGCTTCACCAACTCAAGCGAGTGCTTCGCCAACTCAACTGGAGGAAGGTTACCTAAAGCTCCACAAGCTGCTTGGCGGACATCTGCATCAGCATCCTCCAGTTTCTTTAAGAAGTCCGAGGAGTGCTTTGCTAACTCCTCCACAGCAAGATTGCGCAAAGCAACACAAGCTGCACGGCGAACACCTGCATTGCCGTCTTCTTGCATTCTCTTCACAAACTTCGAAGAATGTTCCGCCAACTTATTGGGAGGAAGATTGCCCAAGGCTACACAAGCTGCAAGCCGGACACCCGCATCACGGTCATTCAGCTTCTGCACCAACTTCGAGCAGTGCTCTGGCAACTTTTCGGGAGGGAGTTTGCCCAAAGCTCGACAAACTGCACGGCAAAGCTTCTTCACCAACTCCGAAGAATTTTGCACCAACTCATCCTGACGAAGGTTGCACAAAACTCGAAAAGCTGCTTGGCGGACATCTGCATCCTCGTCCTCTAGCTTCGTCACCAAATACCAAAAGTGTTGCGCCAACCCCTCTGAATGAAGGAGGCCCTCAGCTTCAGAAACCGCTTGGTGGGTATCTGTATCATCGTCGCCTCGCTTCTGCAGCAAATCCCCCCAAGATGGTTTCGCCAACTCCTCTAAAGAACCAGCTGAGAGGCGGACATCTTCATGAGAGGCGTCCAACTTCTTCACCAAATCGGAGGGGTGGTTTGCCAACTCATTGGGAAGGTTCAACAAAGCTTCATTACCTGTCTGGAAGAGAGCATCACTCTGCTCCTGTTTGACAGGATGCGCCATCTTCGCGTACGTCAGCAGGGCTAGGGAAACATCTAGCTGCTGTTCATGGATCACGTTTTATTGCTTTTGTACTTGGAACTAAGCATCTGAGAATGTTGAGACCAGTTGTTTGAGGTAACTGTGCCTTGCATAAGCGGAGCGGACTTGGAGGTAAAATTTGCCTAATATAAAACAAGTCTCCGCGGCACACAGCCTCTGCTGGGTTCGAGGTGAAGCAGCCAACCCCCACTTGCCACAATGGGTCAATCAAAGAGAAAACATGCCAAGCAAACAAAAATGAGAAAATCTAGGAAACACATCGATCGCCTTTGCCTTTTCGTTCGATTCCCCACTTTGGGGTGTCTTGGTGCATCAAATCTTCACACAGAGGTGACAGAGGTTGCCATAAGCTGCCTCTCCTGCGCAGCAGTTTTCAATATTTCAATGAAGAACATCTGACATGAGCCTATTTGGAGTCCTGCTGTAGCTGTAGAGAACGCACCGTTGCCAGAAGGTTCTGCCATCGAGTGAAAAGCGTGGGGTTCTGCATTTCAAGAGACGTAAAGAGTCTTGAGTTTGTCGGAAAAGGTTGTGGCAACTTCCCACCACGATCAACCCGCGCCATTTTGAGCTTTGGCATGGAGTTCCTCGACGCATGTTCTCTCATCCTCTCTTGAAAGAGTCTGAGTCACTGGAAATGCTATTCCTGCATGTCTACCCTCCCTGCTATACAAGGTGTGGGTGGGTGAGAAAACAAAGAAGTCGCTGAGGCAATAAGGGGGGGAATTGGCCTTGAGCCAAAATGGCAGAGCACATCGCACCATCCCCCCCGATTGCCACTCTTCTTTTCCTACAGAAAATTCCTTGCACTCATTTTCTTTCATGAAAAGGCAGGATCAATGCGCACCATTTTGAGCGTTGGCGTGGAGTTCCTCGATGCATGTTCTCTCATCCTCTCTTGAAAGAGTCTGAGTCACTGGAAATGCTACTCCTGCGTTTCTACCCTCCTTGCATCGCGCAGGAACAGCTATGCGCCTCTTCCATCCCTTAGCTCACTTCCTGGCCTCCTTCTCAACTGCCGTGGCTTCCTGCACCGATGTTAACTCTTGTGTGTCCAACCTTCCTCTTCATGTTGCCCACGACCTCTCGAACCTAGCCTGTAGTCGTAGGTGGAGATAACCTTGTTATATAGCCGTTCCGTGTCCCCTGCGACATCCTCCAGGTTCCGTATCCATGAGGTCTCTCCCTCAACACCTTCCTTCGTACGCCTTCACAACCTTTACCGCCGCTTCCCCTTTCCACACTTCACCAGGGCCTCCTAGCTCTTCTGCTGAAGTGGGGGTTTCCAGCTTGACGGTTATTCCCACGCCTTTGACGCACACGCGTGGCACGCCTAAGCTCCTTAGCAGTCTCACTTTCAGGTAGTCTGCCTCCTTCCACTCCGTTGCCGTACCTTCCCTTTCCTGCCTCGAGTTTAACACCTCCTCGCTCTGGTGAGTACACAAGTCCGCTTCCGTCCTTTGATCTCCTCCAAACTGGCCAGATGCCTGGTTCTCTTTCGGGAGGTGGCTACCGCCGCAGTCCTACCACTCAGCACTAGCCCTCGGGCTATCTGCCTGGCGGTTTCCGCCAACCCTAAAGGCCTCTGCAAGGGTCCGCTTCAGTCGGCCGCGTTCTCACGGGTTCTCCTTCAAACCTTCAGCCGCCTTGTCGTTCCTTATCTCGCACGTCCCCTTTCTACGCGCGTTGACATATTTCCTCACCGTTGCTCTTGGTTCCTTTGCCGAACTCTTGCACTTCCGTCCTCGGTTTCTGCTTGCTTACCTGCTGGTAGTAGCCGACCATCCTGCCACGCTTCGCCCAGCTGATCCTTCTCTTGCTCTACCTCGTTCATACCCTTCCCCCTCACCATCCTTGCAGTACCCATTGAAGGTCAGCCGTTCCACACCCAATCTGCCCCACGATACACTCTCCTTTCCCAAACTTCCTGCACGTGCCCTTGGTAAGCACACGCTCCCTTCGGACTTCGCCGTCTGCTCCAACCAATACGGTTGCCTTCACATGGTGTCCGTCCCCGTAGCATTCCGCATCACGACCCTCCTCGGTCGACACGCCCTCCGATGATGCGTATCTCCTTGGTCCAGGCGATTTCCTTCAACCTTTGTGTCTCTATGCAAAATGAATTCCACCTACCAGTGGTGAGGCTCCGCCACCCGCTTGCTCCTTCATCGCGTCTCCCTCGTCACTGAGATCCCTCCTGAGTTCTCCTGATACGTCGGTCGCACTCCGCCCCATGACTATCACCGCCGAGAGCGCTCCAACCTCTCCTCCGCTTGCGCAGCGCTCCAAGCATTGGCCGGCTTCCTTTTTGGTTCACCTCCGACTGCGCCCATCCCTCAGAGGTCTCTCCGCTCGGCCCACCAAGGCGACCTTGATCTCCGTTTAGGCGCGTGGTCCACGTATACGTGCACCTGCTCCAGCGTTACTCTTCACCGTCTGCCCTTTTCCGTCCTCTCCTCACTCGCCCTCTACTTCTCTTCACCATTCCTTTCATCTCCTTCTCAGCCACTTCTTGTCTGCGTTTTCCTCCTTCTCGTCCTCACTCCGCTGGTCCTAGCTCCGTGGTATTTCTCAAACCCTCCTACTCTCCAATTCTCAGCCTGTTCCCCTTCTGCCAGGCCATCGATCCTCATTGCTCCTTGTTAAACCCTTTCATCTCCCTCATTTTCCATACTTTGTTCTCATTTTCTCTTTCCCACTGGTTCGCCCATCTTCACCTCCATGGACTCGTCCGCGACCAGTTAAACCACCATATTGAGGTCCCCGCGAAAACCCTGCCGGTCTCAACGCGCGTGAGCCGTACTACCACCGAAAACACCCGAGCAGAAACGAACGACGCAGCCTGCCAGTCCTATAACGGAGAGCGCAACAGCGACGAACGAAAACGGTTCGGTAAGCGACAGCACGGCCCGGCCCTCTCTCAACTCCTGAGTTGCCAGGACCGGTTGGGTTTACGGGTCGGTTGCGCACCCCCCATCACCAGCCAAAAACGTGGGGTTGGGGAGGGGTTCACCCGCCAGGCGCACCGGTGTCCTCAACTGCATGTGGGCCCCAGCCGCGGTGTCCCCTCTTCACCTTACCCTTATCTACATACCTGAAGCCCAGCCTTTTCGTCCAACCTCCCGGTTGGATTTACGGCCAGACCCTTATGCTTCCTTTTTCCTTTATCCTTGTACGCGCAACCCCGCTCCCCCTCTTTAAGGGTCTAACTGATGGATTGCTGCGTTTTCACTGCGCAGCACCTCCATATAGCAGCTGAGCGCCATTGTGGGGGTTGCAGGACCAACCATTGGTTGCCTCGGTCAGGAACCTCCTCAACGAACAGCCCCCCACTCAGAATCGAACCTGTCTCTGCCTTCGAGACCCACTCAAGGGCCCCGGCTACCACAGTTCGTCTGCGCTTGTGCCCTCCACACGACTTCCTTC